CTTCAATCCTGATCTTCAGATTTCTTGCAACAAGGGAGTCCCTTCATGTTTGATAGTGGCATGTAACTCTAAGCCGAGCTTCCTTGTTTCCCTGGGAGCTATGTGTTTTTCCTCAGGGTCTGAGAAGCGCAGGACTTAATGAATAAAAGGGTTTTGGTCTGTATGTTTTTCCCATTCTGGCTTTGAATGGTTTCTTCAGTTTTTATTTCACTTTTCTAGAGTTTTTTTTTTTACAGAGGGCCCATGCTGTGGTTCCCTGGAAGAAGAGATATTGATCAGGGAGAGCTGCTTATGGTTTCTCACGCAGTTGTTTACCTTGGTGCAGCCTCGATGTAGTTACAGAGTTAGCGGTAACTGACAGCCATCTTGTAGGACGGTTTGCTCCTCGGGCTCTTTTAAAACACGCACACACACACACACACACACACACACACCCCACATACTCATTCACTTACCCCCTTTGCTCTCATGGAGGCAATTAGCCTCAACTTTTACTTGATTTGTGATGTTTAGTAAATGACCTAATCCTTTTAAGCCTCAATTTCCTCATCTGTAAAGAAGAAATAATAACAGCATGCATCTCACTGGGTTGTGGCTCAGACACAGTGGCATAATGTGGCTTGTTAGTCTGGAGTATGAGGGAGTCAGGAGCCAAGGTCTCAATGTGGCTTGTTAGTCTGGAGTATGAGGGAGTCAGGAGTCACCAGCAGCCAAGGTCTCACAGGGAGAGACTTGCCCTGCGTGAATGACTTCAGGGTTCAGTGAGAGAACAGGGAAATCTGTGGAGACTAATTTGCCGTCTTCTCCCACCCAAGTTCAGACTTGCCTGGTGGTGACGATGGGAGAAGGGATGAATAGATAGGCCCCGAAAGCTCTGAGGGGAGCCTGCGAGGAAACCAAACCTTCTGCGCTTTTGGAACAAATTTGTCCCTATGAGAACCAAATCTCTAAGTAATGTGTCTTTTTAGTCTGATGCTAATCAGATGCACCATCTGGTTCAGTGTAAACTGCTTTAGCATCCACATTGCTCGTTTTTCTCAACTTCCAAAACAAACAAAGAGGGAGGTTTGGGGGAGAAGAGAGAGAGCGAGAGCAAGAGCACAAAGACAGAGAGACAGAGAGAGAGAACGGAGACAAGGAGATAGAAAAATAGACAGAGACAGAGGCAGAGAGAAGGAGAGAGACAGAGACAGAGACCAGACAGTGATCTGGAAGTTATTTCAATGTTTATTTTCAGCTAGTGGGTTTTTCTTTGGAAATTTTATTGAGAAGCTGTTCTCTGAACACAAAGCATTCAGCTTTCCCTTTATCAAGACTTAGCTTCCTCCTTTTCCCCCTTTTTACCTGTTGCCCACAGTAGCCGGAGTGAACTACTGTGAGAAAGGGGTCTAGTGCCATAGGGCCAGGGTCTCCAACCTCCGGGTTGTGGCTGGTACCAGTCCATGGCCTGTTCAGAAGCGGGCTGCACGGCAGCAGATGAGCGGTGGGTGGGTAAGCTTCATCTGTATTTCTGGCTGCTCCTCAGCGCTAGGCATCACTGCCTTGGCTCCACCTCAGATCATCAGGCCTTAGATTCTCACAGGAGCACCGGTCCCTGGTGCCAGAAAGGCTGGGGACCGCTGCCATAGGGAATTATTCGTTTCTGAAAGAGTAGAGGGAAGTCCTCTCCCTGCAGCAGTTGTTGCTTTCTTGGTGAGTTTATGTAACATCTCTGAGCCTCCAGGGCTCCACGTCTGGAAGATATGAGTAGGAATGTTGCTGTTAGAATATGGACTTCTGATTTAGGCAATCCTCGTTTATGATCGCGCCTTGGTT